GGCTAGTGGTTAGGGCTGAGAGGGAGACTGAATTTGAGAGGCAAAAAAAAAGAATGGGGAAATAAATGTGGAAAATCATAAAGGTACAGGCGAAACCATTAGGCTCATCACATTGTCAGCATATCAATCCCAGAGCCTCAGTAGCAGTCCTTGAACTGCTGCCTCAGTCTGGGTGGTATGGGTGGGGTATTTGTTCCTCATTACCATTAACACTTTGCAAAAAAGGTCCTCTTCCCAATCCTACATTGAGTGGCTTTTAGTTTCTGTTAATCCAGACTTCTGTGTTCTGCATGCCATCTCCCAGCTCTCCCACAATTTGTCCACAGCTAGATCACATCACTCCAAGCTTTTCTGTCACAATGACATAGAAAAGCCTCCTGTTCTCCAGTTCAATTCAGTCACCAGGACAAAATTCAGGGTAACTCATTCCTTTTTTATTAACAGATATATAATGATAAAATAACAACAATAATAAACTTTTAGTTCATTAAAAAAAAAAATTAAAATCCATCAAAACAGCCCCAACAGTCAGGGTGGTGTTTACACAGAGCCTCTTGAACACAATGAGAATAACTTATAATGCAGAAAGTCAGGAATTCATCGCGTCTCCCCGCAGTCAGAGAGACAGAGGAGGGAGGACAGAGAGAGAGGACAGGAATCGAACCCAGAGCCGGGGGAAAAGCTACACGGAGGACAGCGTCTGTCTGCCTGGGCGAGTGTCTGTCTGCCTGCAGGTGTGTGTTTAGTGTGCCAGCCGCGCCCCCCCGCCCTCACGCCTCACTCTCTCCAGAGGCGGCGCTCTGCACCTCCTCCTCCAGGATGGGCACGATCAGGTTGTCCTTCGACATCAGGTTGTACTTCATCACGAAGCGCGTGAACCGGTGGCACAGGAACGTCTCGTTCTACACTCCAAGCGGGGAGAGAAAAAAGAAAAGCAGAGTCAGAACCTCTTAACATCTAAAGCACAGTGTGACACTAGGAGATGAGTTTGTGGACCTGCTGGATGACCTCTATACCCAGAAAAGTGCCAAAAATCTCTATTTCCAATTGCATTTCTTGACACAGTAACTGAATAGCATGTCTGCAATGGTAGTAGGATTTTTGCGTCGGCTTCTGTGTGAAACGGAAGCATCTATTCTAACGACTGATTCTGCAAGGGCAACGGGACCGTCGTCAGTCCCTCCTCACCTCGTACTTGTCGAAGATCTGGCGGTGGTGGAAGTAGGCGTGGGAGAATATCCTGTAGATCCGTCTGCACACGGAGCCCAGCTTCGCTACCGAGGACTCCTTAATGCTCACCCTGCACAGACAGACAGATCTTAGCCAGCTGAGCACTGTGCAGACCTCCGTGTGGACAGCAGGAGTGTGATGTCGCTGGGTACGTCAGTGTGGACCAGCAGGAGTGTGATGTCGCTGGGTGCGTCAGTGTGGACCAGCAGGAGTGTGATGCCGCTGTGGACGTCAGTGTGGAC